GATATTTTTGTTATCAGTTTTTGATTAATTCACTAATAATGCAATCTCAAATTAGTTAGACATTCAACCTCAGACTGTGGTTGCCATAGAAGATCAAATGTCAATGACGTAAGCAAGAGCAATTCCCCTCGACGTCACATCCTGCAACAGAAATTACTTAAGCAACCAACTTAATCTGCACTTCCTCTTTTACCTGTGGCCCTTCATGTCTGAGAGGAGAGGAACACTGGTTGTCAGTTGAAGCTACGTTATGCGGCCCAACCCCCCCTCTGGAGAAATTTCCGCTGGAACCAGACTACATCCAGCCTATACTTCAGTGAGACTGAATGCTGAATGATTGCTTCAAACCAAGCTAAACATAGTTTTTAGATAACCTTCCTGCTGAAGCAGATGAGAGAACCATCCAGGTTGTTTAATCAACCCCCTTCTTTTCGCCCACCGAAAATCCGATCCGAATTGGTGGTGCCGAGGTTCCACTACGAAGTCAATGAACCTGATGGTGTTGGGAGCTGTGCTGCTGCCTGCCTGAGCCGCCGCTACTGTGCTATCCGTCATAGCTTTAGGGACACTTCCTTTTATTTCAAGCTGCTGTTAGTGATCAAAATAAACCCTGCAGATCTGCCTCTTTTGTTATTGCATCGGATTAATTCAATCACCCCCCCCCACCCCACCCCCTTCCTTTCAGCAGACCACCTTCTGTATGCTGTACCGTTAACAGAGCATCTCTGCTCATGTTCTGGTCTGATGTAGATTTCTTCAGTCAGTGGAATTAAACAGGTTTTTGCTGCAGCTGTGATTAATGTAGCTGAAATATTTTTGTGGTTTCAGAGGTCTGACCAGGACGACATGTTGCTAATGCTTTTCTTCAGGGAGATAATCCATCAGTCCATCAATGATGACCAGCTGGCAGCTCCTGCCTCCAGAGCCTAACATCACTTTACATCTGCAGTTTCCTTCAGAAATGCCTTCTGTTCATCACTTCTTCGCTGAGAATATTTTCTTCCTGATGCAATGATTATCTCAGCAAAAAGTCTTGAATCAATCATTTGTCTTAGAAACGTCTCTGTTTTCTTTATCTGATGTGTCTCAAACTTGTTAACCTGCAGACAGTAGACTGCAAGGTCTGTGTTGAATGTTATGCTGAACATAAGATGGAAAGAAACTGTTCTAAAACAACCTAAAATAAGCAATTAATTAATAGTGATTATTTTAGTAAGTGATTACTCTGACAATTAAGTAATTTAATAAATATTGATCTTGTTCTTCAGCTTATTTTTATCCTTCCATCCATTTTCAAACACGCTTAATCCCAAGTGGGGGCGAGAGGCGGGGTCCACCCTGGACAGGTCACCAGGGCAACACAGAGACAAACAGGACAAACAACCATTCACGCACACACTCACACCTAAGGAGAACTTAGAGAAGCCAATGAANGTCACCAGGGCAACACAGAGACAAACAGGACAAACAACCATTCACGCACACACTCACACCTAAGGAGAACTTAGAGAAGCCAATGAACCTAACAGTCATGTTTTTGGACCACGCATGCTCAGGGAGAACATGCAAATTCCATGCAGAAAGACCCCGGGCCAGGAATCGAACCCAGAACCTTTTTGCTGCAAGGCAGCAGTGCTACCCACTGCCTCACTTAGCAGCCTCATGTGGGCTTTCTGTTTGGAAGTGAATCTCTAAGTACCTGAAGCCTAGCACCTGTAGTTGTTTGTGAGGGTGAACTTGTGCATGTAAAGTTTATCCATTGAAAAAATGTTCAATAATGGTTGTGGAGAGCCGGAGAGGCACACCCCCCAGAGCACTGAGTCCAGCGCAGGGAGACCCAAAGCCCCAGGCGCCCAAAGGGACCCCAAGAGCCAAGGCACCAAGGAGGGGCCAGCCCCGGAAATCATACCCCCACAAAGGGAGGAGGAGAGACAGCCCCGAAGAAGCCCCCCAGCCACCGCCATGCCGGCGCCCCGGGGAGCCACTGGGACGAGTCTGCGGTCTCCGCCGGCAGCCAGCCACCCTGAAGTTGGGCTGGGCAACGAAACCGCCCCCCCCACAGATCGCCGAAACACGCCCGCCCCCCGGAACCAAGCCCCGACGACCGACCCCAACACCCAACGCGACCGCACACCGCACACAGAATTAACCCAAGAGCAAAAAGGCCGCCCGGCGCCCAACCGCAAGAGCAGACCACAGCTGACGCAACCACCCCCCCCAGCAACAAAGCGGAGCGAACAACGCCGATCCCCCACCAGACGAAGCCAGAGCAGTACAGCCGCGTCCGCCGCCCCCCTGCCGCCCGCACCAGCCCCCGACCCGCGGCCGAGGCACTTCCTCCGCCTCCGACCTGCGCCGGCCGGAGCCACTCCAACCCCCACCAGCCCGCAGCCACACCCTCCGCAATCATCGGGAACAAAGCAGCTCCACCATGCCTCCAAGTGGGAAAACCCACCCGAAAACCCAATCAGCGCATCCAGCCCATCCACACCATCCACACGCCGCCAGCAGGACCCCCACCCAACGGGGCCGCCCGCCCCCCGAGAAAACAGATATGCCAATCCCCCCCAAAAAAAGAACGCCAAGCAGAAAAGCCCCCACAATGCGACAGTGGACACCAGACACCGACCCGCCCGCAACCGCTCCCCCCCACCAAAAAAAAATAAAATAAAATAAATAAAAATTCCCCTATGCAAGAGGAGAAATGCAAGCGGAAAAACCAGAGCCCAAAACAAAACCCAAGACCTGCACCT